TCCGGGTGATCCCGGATCTCCCCTCCTTCCGCCACGCCCTAAAGACATGGCTCTTCCAACAAGCGGGATTGGCCTAGGGGAATTTTAGTGGGGTTTTAAGAGTAATTTTAATTGACATAGGCCACAGTAAATATTTCTTTTTAATTAGGTTTTAAACTGGGTATTTTTATTGTTGTATCTGTTTTATAAGGCTGTCAGCCGCCCTGAGTCCGGAAGGAGAAGGGCGGGATAAAAATTAAATAAATAAATAAAATAAATAAATAAAGTTGAGAAACACTGGACTAAGGTATCAAATGACAAGCCCAGCCTTAATTGTGATCACATTGCTCACCGTGAAGATGGCTTGGCAGATGGTTAAAGCATCCGTGGGCAGCGCCAGTCCCAGGTCTGAAAGGTGATGGAGGATTTTTTTTTCTAATTCAGGGTCAGTTACTAAATCTCCTGGCTCTGTGGCAGTGCCGGGCGTGACGGAGGAAGGCACTGGGCTGTCACTGCGTAAGGGAGGGCTGAGCACCAGGTCTGGATTCCTGAGATCTGGAATAAATCGGGGAAATGTCCCACAGTGATAAGGTCTGCTTTGGGGAAGAAAAAAAATAAATAACGTGCATTGCAATCAATTGTACTTCCTTCTCCTGACAGAACAAATAATCAGCGGAATGGCCTGCCTCCAGAAGTTGTGGGGGGGGGCCCTCCAACACTAGAGGTTTTAAAGAAGATCCTGAAATGATAGGATCTCCTGCTTGAGCAGAGGGTTGGGCTAGAAATCCTTCAAGATCCAACTCTGTTATTCTGTATCTTCCCTCGGTGTCTGTCAACAGTCCAGCAAGCAGCCATTCATAAGACCGCACCCAGGGTCGGCCTAAACAAGCATCCTGCTCCCAACAACCACAACAGCAACTCATAGGCTTAGCCCTCTGCCACTTACGGAGATGTACTGCTGCTATAAGTGGAGGTTCCAGTCATGTCAGGATGCAACTGGTCTGTCTACAATGAATGGCATAAAGGCCCCAGTTCCAACGAGGGTTTCTCCCCTGCTCAACAAGCTCCTTTGAACATAAACTCTACTGGAACAGGACGTGCGGATCTTTTACCTCACTCCCATCCCTCCCTCTGTCTCCTGGAGGCATGGTTAAGGAGCACTTTTCCGAGGGCAGCCTTTGCCCCTCCTCCAAAAATCTTTCCATTCAAAATTTAATAATAATAATAGTAATAGTAATAGTCATCATCATCATCATCATCATCTAAGGTTTCCTGCCTGAGCAGGGGGTTGGACTAGAAGACCTCCAAAGTCCATTCTAACTCTATATTATTATTATTATTATTATTATTATTATTATTATTATCATCATCATCATCATCGCACAGTCAGCCAGATGTTCAGACTGGATTTGGCATTTTTGTCTACCTATCGAGTCCTTACCAAGGACCTGGGATAGGCAGACGTGGATGTTTGATGGTATTACAGATAACGTCGCAGGATGGAAGCAGTTCCTAGTAAGGCCGCCTTTTGCAATTGCCTGATAGCGAATTTGTCAATGCCAATGGTGTTCAAGTGGTGCTCCAGTTGTTTCTGGGTTGCACCCAAAGCGCCTATTACTATTGGTACTACCCTTGCTTGCTTTTGCCACAGTCTTTCTATATTATTATTATTACTAGCTGTACCCGGCCACGCGTTGCTGTGGCTCAGTCTGGTTAAATGGAAAAGAAAGAAAAGAGAAAGTGCACGTTTTGTGTCTCAGGTGTGACATCTATATAATAGGAGGTATATAAAAACACGTGCGTATTCGAATGCAACGTTGTGTCAAAATTTCAAAGCAATCGGTGAAGAACTTTCGGAGATTTAAGATTTTGAACAAACGAACATTTACATTTTTATTCATATAGATGATGATGATGATGATTATTATTATTATTATTATGGCGGCTTTACTCAGAGCAGTTTATATCCTGCGACAATATCTGTAACACTATCAGAAATCCACATCTGTCTATCCCAGGTCTTTGGAAAGGACTTGATAGGTAGACAAAATACCAAATCCAGCCTGAACATCTGGCTGACTGTACAAGATATATTATAGTATATTATATTATTGTATTGTATTATATTGTATTATTATATTATTATTATTATATTATATTAATATAATAATATTAAAAAATACCACTTTGCCATTGCTTTGAGATGCCCTAGCAGGGAGGCTTAAATCTGCAGGCTTTGCTTTTAAGCGCCTGGACTGTTGGAAACTGGGCATTAGGCCAGTGGGCCTATTTTGGACGTCGGGCACCCAGTTCGTACCTAGCCCTCTTTGGGCATACCTTGGGCATCCCACTCCCTCCCGAAGCCGCCTTGCGGCCCTCTGCCTCACCCAGAGGCTCCTGCTTGCGCCTCCGCTGCAGCCGCTCCCGCAGCGAGTCCAGCTGTTTCTTGTGCGCCTGGATCGAGCCCCAAGTGTCCGACATTGTCCTGGCGTGTCCGGCAGCATCTATAGCAACCAAGGAGGGGGGGAGGGAAATGGGACAAGAAGCCGGAAGTGCAGACTGGGGGAATGGAAATACGACGGACACGCTTCCGCTTCTTGCGCTTACTTGGACGTTTTCGGGGACTGGCAGAAAGTGTTGGAAGCAGCCATGTTTGATTAGGGTAAAGGTGAAGCGTCGGCAGCCTTTTTTCTCACGGGCTCCAAGGCTGGGCAGAATTCTTTTCTCCCACGATCTAGTGGTGGGCAGGTTCTCGTCTAAATTAATGCTAAGATCTGGACAGGTGATCCGGACAGCCTCAGGATCCCAACGATCCAGACCCCTCATTTTCTCCCTTTCCTTCCTCAAAACATCAGGAAGCAAAGACAGTCTTCTGCTTTTTGAAATCAGACAACACACTCTCAATTTCAGCATGACGTTTATTGGGGCACTTAGGAGCATATTATCTTCTTTTTTTTTTTTTTGCCTGGCCTAGTTTGCAGGGTTGTTGTGCACAAAGAGTAAGTGAGAGGGGGGAACTTGTATACCCTTTGTTACCTTGGAAAAAAAAGATGTGGATTCATGACAATGAATGAATGAGTTAATAACCTCTTATAGTTTGCATGCACAGCAAACAAAAAAGTTACCGCTGAAAATCTCAAGGGTATATTTATGCCGATCATATTTTCTTGGGAAAAATAAAGGACAAACCTGAAAAAGAGCAAATCTGAAAGAGGTTCCTAAGGATTAAAAAAAAATGTTTTTATGTTTATAGCTTTGCTTTACAAAGGAAAACTCAAGAGCAAAGGCAAGGAAAAACTTTACAAACAGGGATATTCTAATAAAATACGTAAAAAAGCATAAAAAAGTATGAAGTTATGAGAAGTATTAAAAAAGGATTTCTGCAATCTGTGCTTTGACTGGTACCATTTGTATGGTAAAAGTTAAATGATCCAAATAAAGGAACCTGAATTTTTGAAAAAATAAATAAATCTAAAGGACAGTTTTCTGAAATAAAGGGCTGTCCTTTATAATTAAGGACATATGTTCACTGTTTTGGTATATTGCGGAGAGCCAGTTTGATGTACAGGTACCATAGTCTTTGACTTTAAGAATCACAACTGACCCCAAAATTTCCATTGCTAAGCAAAGCAGTTGTTAAGTGAGTTTTTGCCTCGTTTTACGACTTTTATGCCACAGTTGTTAAGTGAATCACTGCAATGGTTAAGTGCATCATATAGTCAATAAGCAATTCTGCCTTCCCCCCATTGAGTTTGTTTGCCAGAAATTGGCTGGGAAGATTACAAATGATGATCACAGGACTCCAGGAGCCTACAACTGTCCTAAATACATCTCAGTTGTCAAGTGGCTGAATTTGATCATCTGACTGGGGGGGGAGGGTGCTGCAATGGTCCTAAGTGTCCTAAGTGTGAAAAATGATCATAATTCACTTTTTTCAGCACTATTGTAACTTTAAATGGTCACTAAATGAACTGTTGTAAGTCGAGGACTGCCTGCATCTACCATTCTTTGCCAAGGATCCAAAGTTTGATCGCATGACCATGGGGATGCTGCAATGGTCGTTAAGTATGAAAATCGGTCATAAACCATTTTTCCCCCTCTGTTGTAACTTCGAACGTTCACTAAATGAATGGGTGTTAAGTCGAAGACTACCTGTACACTCCATTAGCTTCACTGAAGAAGCTTTCATCCCACAGCGGATTAACTGAATTGATTTGAACTGATAATACACAGCAACACACATTCACAAGCTTGCTTCCTGAAGATCCAGTAAAAAAGGCAGCAGTCATAAAATGACTGTCTGCCCTCTTCTTCCTCCTCCTTTAATGATGGTCAGATGGGTTGTTTCTCCCGAGCAGTGTGTTCAAGGCCAGTGTTCACACAATCCGTGAGTTGCTTCATTAGACTTATGAATCACCAAAATATACCCAGCTGTAATGCCTCAAGTTTGCATTTCTAATCCAGCTGAATGGATGGCAGAAGACACCCAGGTTGGGAAAAGCTGTCAAAAATGAGTAAAAAGAACTTTTATTCTCTACAGGTTACAACTACAATTAGCACCAAGATTTCTGTTGCTAAGTAAGGCTCTTGTTAAGTGAGTTGACCTTTTTTGCCAAATCACTGCAGTGACTCGTGGTCATTAAATGAATCACACAGTCATTAAGTGAATCCAGCTTCCCCCATTGACTTTGCTTGTCAGAAGGTTGCAAACGGCAATCGTATGACCTTGGGACTTTGCCAACTATTGTAAATACATGTCGGTTGCCAAGCACTCAAATTTTGATCATGTGGAACTTCCGGTGGGACGGCGCGCCGATGGC